GCAGGCAAGCAGACAAAGGTTCACCCTGTAAAATATATGTAGTTTTGCTCAACCCAACCTTTTTATTTATTTTATTTTATTTATTTATTTGATTTGCCAATTGTTTACAAGATAATAAGTATAAGTGTATACATAGTTGTGAATACATGAAATGGGTACATATAAGAAAAATAAAAGAATAAGAGAAACAATAGGACAGGGACAGTAGGCACGATGGTGCGCTTTTTCTTTGTATAATTTCTTGGGGAGACAACCCCCTTTTAAATTTTATTTTCATATTCAGAGTTCTAGATAAAATAAATGCTGGATGATTGGTAGGAACAAACTAAGTACAAATTTTGAAATTATTATTTTTAAATTTTGGAAGCTCTCCAAAGGTTCCTGGTTCTTGAAAGACTGAAATTATCTTTACATGTTGTCAGCATTGTGGTTACTCTTATAATTGTGATTGACATAGCAAAATGGGTAGTGGAAAACAGCCAGTTTTAACACAGCTTTAATGCAGGCTTTCATAAAGATGTATGCATATACTAAAAATAAAGCCAAGACTGTTCAAAAGAGGTGAATGTTTATAATAATTTATTTTTTAAAAACCTCTGCAGTCCAACTTTAGCGTAAAGGTTTAAGAATTCATAGAAACAACTCCTCATTTTAAGAATGTAGCTTTTGTTAGGTTTAAAGTTTAGCAGCCAGATGGGAAAAGAAGAGAAAATCTGAATAATTGCCAAACATCTTTGATGTTTTTCCATTCTCTTTGGAATTTTAGATTATTTTATCAGGATTGTCTAGGAATGTTAAGTCTGTCACTGAGACAGGGAGGGAAATCTAAAGGATGCTTTCTACTAATGTTTGCATTACATCTCGGTATTTACATATTCTAAACTCTCTATCCTTACCAGACTTGCTAGAGGGGAAAAAAAAGTTTGGATAGTTTTCACAGCTGTTCTGCAGTATTTTCCAGACTGGAATTTGAACACAGCAGGCTGATTTATGAGTCACTTTGGACCTGTGTCTTAAAACAGCTACAGCCTACCTCTTTGTTTTTTAGCTTTCCTCCTTTCTGCTGAATTAGCAACTCTCAAGGTCTCAGTGGGGTTTAATTAATATGTTGCTGGATTTGCATTAAAAAAAACAACTAGATTTCAGCATTTCCAAAAAGAAGATACTATACTTAACAAAGTACATTGAGTCAATTATATCAGTGTGCTTTGTGAAGACTGTTCTGAAATTTCTAAGTTTTATGAACCTTGGGGCATAGTATTAGGTTGCTCTATTTCTTTACCATTGTTGGAAGAAATGTCCACCTGGGTCTAGTTCCAAGTGGGAAGAAAGACACTCAAAACATAGAGACTGCTTGGAACGATGGTTTTAATGGTGGACAGGACCACATGGTTTGAGGTCCTGGGCAAAAATGAGCACATGGGTAAGAGAGGGAGAGATTTATACCCTCTGTTGGGCTTTGAACTTACTTCCTGTTCCTGTGGCAAGAAATGTATCTTGATTGGTTGTCAGACTCCCATAGGGCCATGCAGGGGTAACTTTGTAGGTTGTCTTGAGTCCCAGGCTTGGTTGAATCTTGCTGAGTGATGTAATGAAGGGGCTTTAGGCAATTCCTTTTATGGCTTAATGGCTTTGTTCTGTTTGGATTTTGAGTGAGGGCTAATCCTATCACCCTGAAGCTGAAGGTATTTTGTGTTGTAGATAACCTGGCCCAGCCTTTTGTTCTGTAGATAAGCTGGCACCAAAATATCTGCTGGGGCTGAGTTTCTGTGTCCCTTAAGATTTCTATTTCTCTTTTAGGGGAAATATTCTGCCTTTTAAATATTTCCTAGAATATTTCATTCTTCTAGGAGAGGGGTTAGGTGCTAACTTTCTACACCATCATTTTGCTCACATTTGAGATCATATATATCAGTGGTGGCGAACCTTTTCTTTGCGTGCGTATGCATGCTGGCCAGCTGATCTTCACGCGTGTGGGAGTGCTGGAAACCGGAAGGTCAGCTTCCTGGTGCGTGCATGTGCACCAGCCACCGGTCTTCCAGTTTCTAACACGCATGAGTGCATGAAGACCAGCTAGGGCGCCGGGGAGCTGCTCTTCTGGATTTCGGTGTTCCCGTGTACATGAAGACTAGCGAGCTGGAACCCGGAAGAACAACAGATGATGGCTGGCATGCCCGGAGAGAGATGGCCCTGCATGCCACTTCTGGCACATATGCCATAGGTTCGCTATCACAGATATATTGTTAATATTTTCTGATAACAAACAATGACTTGAGCATTTGAATAATATTTCTAAAAATCTTCATTATCCTAATGCAAGAATTGTGAAGGATGAAACTGACATCTGTCCCTACATCTAAGGAAACGAGGAAATTCAGGAGTTGGTATTTAGAAGTTGAAGTTGAATAGGGGTTTGTGATTTCAGTCCCAACATTCAAATACAAACAAGAAATGATTTAATATTACTGGAATGAAAGTCAGGCTCCTGAGATTTTTCCTCTCCATGATTCAATGACAATAGTACAGTATATGCTTTCATTTGTAAAAAGATGCAGTTTATCATGTTTAAAGCCAAATTCAATTCTTGGTGTCTAATTTTGGCTTCTTACACTATATCATAGTTATGATATGCATAGTTGTAAAGTTGCTGTAGTGGTGTTGAATTCAAAGCTTTGGTTCTTCTCTTTGGAGCTTTATGGGAAGTAACTGGAGGACACAGAAGTGAACAAAGTGTGCCACATCTTCATTCATTTTACATATATATTGCAAAGAGATCAACATCTGTCTAGATATGTACACAGAGGCTTGCTGCTCTGCAAAACCTCACAGTTTCTTAATAAAAAGGCAGTGTTTCAAGATATCCTTTGCATTTTCCACATCCAAGAGAGCAAGGGCTCTGCATGTTGTTCTGAAAAGTTTAAAGAAGAGTCTTTCTCCTTCAAAGATTGTAACAACTAATGGCAGCTTAACAGGCCTGCCTTCTTAAAAGTGAAATGAGTATTTTTAATGCCAGAATCTAGTCATTCTTAATCATTTAAAATTTCCAATGCTACTAGAGATTTGAAACCACTGGAGAAATTTTACTTTAAAACTGTGGTTTTAAAGACGTGGGAGGCCAGAGGAGTGGAAAATGTGTGCTCCAGAACTTCAGTGATGCTAGTGCTTACTTACTGCTAAATTACAAGGAAAGAATGATTCATATGATTTCATATCAGTTTAAGGATTTTTGTCAAAAATTGTTTGAGGTGCCAGAAAGAGATGCATTTTAAAACCTATTTTGTCAGGAAGCTTCTTCAAAATTGACTTCAGAAAGGATCACGTTTATTTCAGCTCTTAGAGTATTTCTACTTGTTTTGTAGAAATGTCTCTTTCTTCAAATAAACAATCTTTTCCTTTTTGTATGCTTCTATAAGCAAAAAATAGATTTAAATGGCAGGCCTATTAAATTTCTTGTTTAAGTATTAGTATTTATAAGTATTAGTATTTGATTTTGGCTGCTGAGCAATGAAGACACACTAAAAATCTGGACAGAGGAGGGAACGAACAGATCACAGAAAATCTGCTGATACCAGCACTTCCTGAAAATACAAAGGTAGTCTGAAAATAATGCAAATATGTTTACATATAACAAATATGTTTACATATATACATATAATCTCCTTGATAGAGTCCAGATGGAGAGTAAGTTTGAGCTCCTTAGTGAAAATCCCTGAGTCTAGTTTAGTGATAATTGACAGCAGTAGTTGCAACAGTTGGATTTCTATAATGTAAAATCTGTGCCAGGTTCCTTCGCTGCTACATTCCCATTTACCAAAGCAATTCTACTCATTTCTGTTATTATCTGGCAGACCCGAAAGAAAGTATGTCTTCTATATTATTTCATGATGTTGACTCCTTCCTATCTATTTAGTGTCAGGCCTTCCAGTCAATGTTGACTTCCTAGATGAGTCCCTAAAGTTTCCTCAGCATATTTCAGAAGTAGTTTGCCATTGTTTTCTTCTTAGGGCTGGGAGTGAGTGATGAGTCCGAAATCACCCAACTGGCTTTGTGACTAAGGTGGGACTACAACTCATAGTCTTCTAGCTAGTTTCTACCTTGGTGCCTTGCGTATGCATTTATCTGTTTTATCTGTAACTTTTAAGTCAATAGAAACCTGAAATCCTATGTTTAAATAATTATTCATATTCTTTGCTTATGCAGAATAAAGGTTAATGTATTTTAATAATAATAATTTTATAAAATTGGGCTTATAATGCCTTGATCCAAAGTCAAATATTGCTATATTAGTATTAGTAAATATTAGTATAAATCAGGGTGGTATTTATTGTGAGCTTTTTTTAGACCACTTACACAATATTCATGCATTTTTTCATTTCTTCCAGAAGGTACAGGTACATACCCATCAAGAATATGCATACCAGAAATAAACACATGATCTTACAGGAAATAGATTTCTTTGGCATATTGAGCAGTTTTATTCACTGCTGAATCTGAAATGGGTTATGCCTTGAAGCTGAAGTATTTATTTGGGTTCCCCCCCCCCAATTCTTGATATTGCATTTTATATGTGAGAATTAATGATTCAGAAACATATGAATCGGAGAAGTTTCCATGCCACCCAACATCAGTACATCCATATACCACAAATTTAGACATATCAGGTAAAAACTATACATTGAAAGACAGCATTAGCTTTGTTTGCCAAATATGCCTTTGGTCTCCTATGCTGCCAAGATAGATTTTTTTTTATTTATCTGCTACACAGGACAGTTATTTGACATGCTGGTCTTAAATAGTTTTTTATTTTATTGTTTTAAGCTCCTATGAAAATAGCTTTTGAGTTGTATGCACTTGATAGACATCATATGAAAATATATGAAAGGCTATCATATGAGCTGCTGAGGGAAAATGGGAGAAGATAGATACAAATCAATGTATTTAGATTATTTTTAAATATCTCTCATTTTGATGAGTATTCATGCTTTTTAAAAAATTTACAGTGATCTAAGCCACAATAGATTGTCTTCAATCAACTCTAGTTCTTTGAGTCATCTTTATAATCTGCGAGAAATGTAAGTATTTGTTCTGCCTCAGCCAGATTCTTATGGCTATCTTGTTATAAATATCTTCTTTTCCATTGCTTTATTCTAAATTTCTAAAATCATAATGACGTGCATATAAAACCTAGAATGATTTGATTTGCATTCAGAGATAAGTTGTGATTCGAAAGAAAGCTGATATATAAAGCAGTTGGCTTTCGCTTTGCATTTCTTAGAGATGAGTAGCAATGTTTTCTGCCTAGTCATGACCATATACCGTATTTTTCAGTGTATAAGATGCACTCCGCCCCCCAAAAAAGTGGGTGGAAATGTCTGTGCATCTTATACAGCTAATGTTGCCAAAGCCCTGCTCACCTGCCGGCCCCCGCCCTTTAGCATCTGCCTCTCACCAATTTGCCTCCTTGCAGCAAACAAACAACAAACAGCCTGGTCAGCTTCAGCACAGTTTGATTTAGTACGAGCAGTTAATTGTCTGTTGGATCGGCCTCCCGACGATCAGCTGTTTCAGGCTGCAGGGATTGCCATCACCTATTGCTGCCTCCGTGCGGCCCATTTTTGGCCTCTGCATCCCATTTTTGTCCTTTGCATGCTCTGTTTTCAGCCTCCGTGTGCCCCATTTTCATCTCATTCCAATCCCTGCTGCCTGAAATGGGCTGAAAATGGGGCACATGGAGGCCAAAAACGGGGCGTGCGGTGGCTGAAAATGGGATGCGGTGGCTGAAAATGGGACACACAGAGTTGGCAATAGGTGATGGCAATCCCTGCGGTCTGAAACAGCTGATTGTTGGGAGGCAGATCCAGCCAACAATCAGCTGCTTGTGCTAATCAGGCTGTGCTGAAGCTGACCAGGCTGTTTGCTTTTTTGCTACAAGGAGACAAATTGCTGGGAGGCAGAGGCAGATTTTCCCCCTTGTTTTCCTCCCCAAAAGCTAGGTGCGTCTTATACTTTGGATTGTCTTATACTCGGAAAAATATGGTATTTACCTATTTAGACACAAGACACAATGATGTATTTCAATACCCTCACTGCCCATGCTGCTAAGTGAAAGCTCCTCTTGTTTGATAGCTGATAGCTCCCAGCTAATGGAAAGCACGAGTAGTAACAGTTATATGCCAAGTCACAGAAGGTATTACACAACCACAAGCAATCACTAGCCTTTTTTTTTCTATCTGCAGAAATCAACTTCTAAGAATTAAAAAAAACAGTAAAGCAGTTTCCGTGTGTGGGGGGGACAGGTTCACTAGCATGGAGGAGTAAATGAGCCACATGTACCACACAAAGGATACTCTCAATAAACCAGGATTCCGGTTTATTATTCCATAGATAAATGGCAAATGCAAATGTTCAAAGGACTTACAACAATTCACTGGGCATCTGGAAGTCAGCATCATTAAAAGACTTTGTTTCTTTGGGAATTTGTGCCATTATGAGGGTGGGAGGTGAAAACTGCTAAGTTGTTAAGAGATAAAATAGGAAGGGAAGATAAGATACCAGTTACCATTTATGTCTATCTTGGCTAAACTTTCATTATTTCTTTTAAAACAGAAAACTGAACAACAATGAATTGGAAGCTATTCCAAATCTGGGACCTACTTCAGTAAACATTACTTTCCTTTCTCTGTAAGTTGATTTCGTATATTTTATTTGTATATGAAAAGAAATATATAGACATACTCTCTATTCAAATATTTTTTTTTTTTTAAATAAATTTTATTAAATTTACAATTAAAAACATATCGACATTACATACACAAAAGGGGAAAAAAAAAAAGAACACTCGGTCTTACAAACTGGAAAGAAAAGAGAGGAGGAGATGTAAAAGAAAGAAAGAAACAAAGAAAGAGAAAGAGAAAAAAGAAAAAAAGATGCGTTTAAAAACAGACAATATCCTTTTTGACAGTCTGCAAGATCCAATTCTCCTACCTTAATTTGAATACACACATCTTATCGATATCTATGCTTAAATTACCCATTGTCCATTAAGCAGTTTATCTCTGGACTAACCAATTATACCAAGAGTTCCAATTATCGTAAAATGTTGAAGCCTCTTTGTTTTTAAGTGCTATAGTTAATTTATCCATTTCTGCACAATCACATATTTTCTGGATGACCATTTGTTCTGTAGGTGCATAGGGTGATTTCCAACACTGGGCAAACGCTAATCTGGCTGCAGTTAGGATATGAATTGTTACATATTTCATCTTTTTGGGTAAATGTTTATCAGAGATCCCTAGTAGGAAGAACTCTGGTTTGTATTCGATTTGTTCTTTGGTTATCTCCTCCAACCATTTTCTGATTTTTTGCCAATATTTCTGGGTTTCTTTGCAAGACCACCACATATGAAAGTATGTTCCTTCTATGCTTTTACATTTCCAGCATTTTGGACTCGTGTTTGGGTTCATTTTCGCCAACCTCGAAGGGGGCAAGTGCCATCTATAAAACATTTTGTATGTATTTTCTTTATATGCTGCCGATTTTGTAATCTTAATATTTCTGTTCCAAATCTTTTCCCATTCTGATAATGTAATACTTCTTCCAACATTCCTGCTCCAGGCTATCATGTTCCCTTTGACTATCTCTTGTTCTAATTCTACTTCCAGTAAGTATTTATAGAATTTGGATATGTTCTTTTTGTTTGATCCTAGTAAAATTTTATCTAAATACTGCAGTTTGTTATAAATTCCAAAGTCTTTTATATCTTGTTTGTATCTGCTATGGATTTGTATATATAACCACTGATCAATTTTAAATCCCTGTTCCTGTAGTTCTTGTCGAGTTTTTAATTTTCCTTGCGGATCTAATAAATCTTTATATTTAATCATTTTTGTTATGTCCAAATTATTGGGATGTACCATTGCCTCCATTGTTGATAGCCAGATCGGAATTTTTAGATAGTGTTTTTTGCATATTTTTTTCCAATTAATTAATAATGAGTCCCTAATGAGGTGTCTATGAAAGTAAGACTGCTTGGGTTTCCCCACTTCCCATAAGAAGGCATGCCACCCTCTCTGGAGGTCATGCCCTTCTAATGCTAAAATTCTTTTGTTAAGTAAGTTCACCCAGTCTTTTATCCATAATAAGATAGCTGCCGAATAATATAATTCCCAATTTGGAAGGGCTAGACCCCCTCTACTTTTCGCATCTTGTAAGGCCTTTACATTGATCCTGGGTTTTTCCCCCTGCCAAATAAATTTAAGTGTGATCTTATTTAATTCTTCAAAAAAAATTTTTGGCAACTTAATTGGGATTGTCTGGAATAAATAAAGAAATTTTGGTAATATATTCATTTTAATCGAGGCAATCCTGCCCAATAAGGAAAGCTGCAACTTATTCCAGGATTCTAAATCTTTCTTTGTTTGTTGAAGTAGTTTATCATAATTGTTCTCTTTGAGTGATTTACCTTGTGGTGTTAACCATATTCCTAAATATTTGACCTTTTTTGTTACCTGTATCCCCATCATTGTTTCTAATTCTTCCTTCTGGTTTTCTGTTAAATTTTTGGTCATTAATTTCGTCTTTTTTCTATTAATTTTTAATCCTGCCACTGTGCCAAATTTTTCTAATTCTTTTATTAGATTATAACCTTTTTCCATGGGTTCCTCCAAAAAGAAAACCATATCGTCAGCAAATGCTTGTAGTTTATATTCTTCTGATTTGACCCTCACTCCTCTAATTTCAGAATTTTGTCTAACCCGTGTTAAGAGTGATTCTAGGGCAAAAATGAAAAGAAGAGGTGAGAGAGGGCAGCCCTGTCTGACACCTTTTTCTATATTTATTGGATCTGTTTGTTCGCCATTGATTAGTATATTAGCCTGTTGTGTGTTGTAAATAGTTGTTATAATGTTTTCAAATTTGGTGCCAAGACTCATATTGTAAATTTTTTGAATTAAAAAGTGCCAATTTAAGTTATCAAATGCTTTCTCAGCATCTAAAAACATGAGTGCGGATTGTTTCTCCGGGTGGGCTTCATAATATTCTAGGACATCGATAACGGTTCTTAAATTGTTCTTTATTTGTCGGGACGGAAGAAATCCATTTTGATCTTCGTGTATATGTGGATTTAAAGCTTGTTTTACTCTATTAGCTATGATAGAAGTAAACAATTTATAATCGGCATTTAAAAGTGAAATCGGTCTATAGTTGTTGATGTATCTATGATCTGCATCCTCCTTCGGGATTAGCGAAATCAGCGCCCCCCTCCACGAGTCCGGCATCTTGGCTGCCAGAAGTACCTCATTAAACACTTCCAGCATCAGTGGTCCTACTAGTTCCAATATTGCTTTATATAGTTCTGCCGGAATCCCATCTGGTCCTGGAGATTTGTTATTACTTTGGTTCTCCATTGCTGACTTCAATTCAGACCATGTAAAAAGAAGGACTTCCTCAAAATTTAGGGAACGACAAACCACAACCAGGGAGAGAAGAACCAATCTCACAACAACAGCAAGAAGAAAACCGAATCATCACTAGACAAAAAACTAAACAGACCTAGATAAATGGAGATAGGAAAGAAACTCCTCTCCATTAATATAAATGGTTTAAATTCAACATCTAAAAGGAAAAGGATATTAACTAAATTAATTAGACAAAACGCCGACATAATATGCCTACAAGAAACACACATTAGGAAAAAGGATGAAAGATATTTAATTTGCCCGAAACTTGGAAAACTTTTTACAGCACCAGCAGACAAACATAAAAAGAAAGGAATTGCAATATTTGTGAAAGATGATGTAAAAGCAGAACTAATCTGGTCGGATCCGGAAGGAAGAACTCTGGTTATACAAATTTGGATTAATCATATCACATTTTTATTGGTAGCAATCTACGCGCCAAATGAAGAACAAGGGAAATTTTTTAAAGATCTTCATCAGAGAATAATAGGTTTCGAAAAAAGGAATATCTGCATGATAGGCGACTTCAACTCCATTGCTGATCATCAGAAAGACCATAGTAATGTGAATAAGAACAAGAAAGGGAAAAGAGAATTTTCTATGCCCTGTAAGGACATGATGAAAGAATTAAACTTAATAGACTTATGGAGAAAACTAAACCCAGAAGAGAAACAGTTCACATATTATTCAAATCCACACAAAATCTGGACCAGAATAGATATGGCCTGGATGGATGGGGAATTGGCCAATGAAATAAAAGAAATTAAAATCCTACCAAATGAATGGGCCGACCACAACCCAATACAACTAATTTGGAGAGATAGGAGAAAAACAAAGAAAAGATGGACACTAAATACTCAGCTAATAAACGAAGAAGAATACATTAAGAAGCTGAAAGAGGAATTAAATTATTTTCTAAAAGAAAATAATAATAAAGCAACCACGAAACAAAATATTTGGGATACAATGAAGGCAATTATAAGAGGAACAACAATCTCCTATAATGCCATGAGAAATAAAAGAATACATGCCCAACAAAATAAATTCCAACAACAAATTAAAGAATTAGAAATACAACTTCAAAAATCCCCTAAAAACCAGAGAACACAAAATCAGTTAATAACAATTAAACATAAATTGAACTTACTTGAACAAGATAAAATAGAAATTAACTTGAAAAGGTCCAAACAAAATTATTTTGAGCATGCAAATAAACCAGGAAGATGGCTATCCCATAAACTTAAAAAAGTGAAAGAAAAGAGATTGATACACCAACTAATGGATGAGAAAGATGTCTTACAACATGAGATAGAGAAGAAAAAAGATATCATTTACAACTATTTTCAAAGATTATATAAAAAGGAGGAAGTTAATGAAGATAAAATAAGAACTTATTTAGAGGAGACGAATGACAAGGTAATTGGAGAGGAATGGATAGAGTTATTGAATAAAGATATCTCTATTCAAATATTAATCAGATGTTCATAAAAGTTAATATTTGAAATGATAGCATTAACTATGTTTAATGTAGTGCTACCTTTGGATCATCTTGACTGTCATGATATATTATTCTAGGATAGAAGCACATATTGTAGAAATTGTACTTATTAGAGAATATTATAGATCAAATTCTGAGTATCCTATGGTTTATTTTTCCCCTAAATTCTGTACAGAACAACTTGTAGATTCAATTTATTGTATCTCAAGCTATAACCAGGACAGTCTTTTTCTGAAATCCTTTAGAACTACTTTCAGTCATAGTAGAAAGTATCTTAACTATAAGCTGCCCTTAGTTGAATGGGTGCTCGGGAATTAGCTCAAATCTAATTCTCCTGAATTAGAGATTATTCTGTTGTATAATTTTTTACAGATTTTGATGGTGATGTGTTGAACTCTATCTACATTTAATTTGAAGTACACTCTGTTACATGTAGTGAGATATACACAGGCATCAGATTCTGAATATGCAGAATATTTGTAGGATTCAAATCTGCAATGAACGTATGTGATTTTTACAGTATCTATATGATAATTTTGTATATGAATGCAAGTGTTCATATGCATGTTCATATGATCTGTATCCAATTAAGTATGCTTGATTTCTTGGTAGAATGCACATAAAATCGACACTCTCTGTTGTTGTATAAGATAATAGCAGTGATTTATAATTTGTCAGGAATGCATCTGGTCAAGTATGGAAGCCTGTGGTGTATTTGCTAACCATTT